ATTTGTCAAGTCCAAGAGCAGAGTCTTTGCCCCCAGGTGAATTTTAACTTTTGTGGATTTTTCTCCTTTAAACATGGGGTAAGGGCTCTCCATGTAAATATCTCAGGAAAAAGAAAAAAAAACCAAACAAAACAAAGCAACAACAACAACAACAAAACAAACAAACAAACAAAACAAACCCAACCTAAAAACCAACCAAAAACATGCATGTCAACATTGCCTGCACAGAGAAAAGAATTCCAGCCTGCAAGATGTGAAGGACAGCAGGATTTACCAAAACACCTGAGCAACAAGCTTGATTTGCAGAAGTACTCTGCCTCCCCATGCAGCCCATTTAGGTTTTTCATTCATTTGCATCAGCAATAATTTGTGTCCAGGTTTCTCATCTTTCTTGGAAATATCTTATTAATTTCTCAAACCTACTGATTGTGCTAGAGAAATTCCCAGGTAACCAGTGTTCTCACAGGTAACCAGTGTTCTCACAGGCATGCCAAGACTCACTCCTGGGCTCACTCAGTCCACAGCAAGTGTTTTCCTCCTTATTGCCAAGTGTCCTGCTACCCTTTATCTGTATTAGAGCCTGTTGCTTGCACCACTAAAATACTTTCTAAGGGCCAGTGGTTTCTAAGAGCACTCTGGCACCAGCAGTCCTTGATCTGGGCAGGATTTTGCCTCCAAGACAGATCCTATCATGCATGTGCCTTTTAGATGCCAATCCAGTGACACCACAATGACATCCTGGCTATCACTTTTCTCCAATAGACACCTAAGCCCTGTACAGATGAAAACATAAGCACAAGCGGAGTGAAAACACCCTCCTGGGACATGCACATGAAGAAGGGAAGGAATCAATAAGGAGAGATAATTTCCATGCCAATACAAGGCCTGGGAAGGAGGGCACCCAGGGATGCTCTGGCTTGCTCGTTCCCAGCCCACCCTCCCACCTCTGTGCAGGCTTTGTTCCTCCCAGAGATGGTCTGCACTGCTGTCTGATTGCCAGCACAGGGGGTCCCATGATGCAGGAGCCTGCAAGATCACAGTGCTGCTCCTAGGAGGCAGCAGGGATGGTGTCTGATTTTCCACAGAGAAAATTCAAAAGCAGAGGGAAGGGGGGCACAGGGATAAAATGACCCCACGGTTCTCATATTGTAATAGTTATTTATTTTGTTTAGAGAGCATACATCCCAATGCATCTGGTTAAAAAAGAAACTTCCTTAATTATACATAGGGCTTTGACTCCCAAAAGATATGTTAGGAAAAAAAAACAAAAAGAAAAAAGAAACCCAAGAAACAATCTACTGTTTGTTCGGATGCTCGATACATTCAATTGCAAAAGAACTGTTCCTCTCCAAGCCATCATTACCTATGTCTGTGCATTTTTATTTGAGTCTCAGCTTTCTCCAGAAGCCTTCTGCTTTGATTCTCAGCCTCTGTACCTTTCTTTCTCAGACTATAGTTTTCAGGGGGGCTGCAGTAGAGAAAATCAAGTGCTACACAGAAACTCGCTGATTTCCCCAGGAATTTTTATGTGGAATCAATCTATGATTTGGAAGAAAGCAGAATAAATCAAACCAAATAACACTCTCACTAAGCATATTGATGAGGGCATGGATCAAGCAGGACAGACATCCAGTTATGTAAATGATAGCGTGGAGAGCACAGCTTTGTTAAAACAACTCGGGACGGCTCCCAGGGGCAGGCCTTGAGTCAGAGTAACCCAGGATTTCCTCTTTGAATAAAGGTACATCAGTGTAAATGAGAGCAGATCCAAGTACTACAAACCCAGCATGTTTTCCCCATTGGTAAGGGAAGTGACAGCAAAAGCAGCGAGGACCCTTCAAGTTTCCCCTGGTTTTGGTGAATTTTTCATTAATGCCAGCGGGGCCCACAGTGGCTGGAGCTGCGCTCCCAAGGACACTGGTGGGTGGCATCATTTTGGCAAGAGGCAGCTGCAGCCACTTGTTTCCTGTAGCCCACAAATGCAATGAGCACCAGAAGCCTTGCAGGGAGGCCCTGTTCAAACTCCCTGTGAATCCAGCACTGGTGTGCTGGAAAGGCAGGAACAGAGCAGCACATCCCCTTTTCTTTGCTGTGTGCATGACTGAGCACTGGAACAGATTGCCTGGAGGAGCTGGGGAGTCTCTCCCTCACTGGAGATATTCAAGAACCATCTGGACACAATCCTGGGCCCTGTGCTCCAGGGTGACCCTGCTTGAGCAGGACATTGTAACAGATGACCCCTGTTGTCCCTTCCAAGCTGAGCCAGGTTCTGGCAATCAGCAACTTTTGGGAGGCCAGGCACAGTCCTGTCTTACAACTTGCTTCCCCAACACAGCCTGAGTGTTTATCACCCATAAGACAGCACCTTACATTTGTCTTTCCACCACAGGATCTGTGCTGCTTTGTAATTTTCAAGCTCTAACTTTTTAGGAATATGGACCATATCATATTTAAAGAAGTGGAGCCACACTTCCAACTTCATTGGCCAATGGCTTTATAAGCCATTAAGATAAATCCTCTTGGTGCAACAGCAAATTCCATTTTTCCTGGCTGCTTTTACAAAATTATCCAGATATATTGCTCCTTCTGAGTTTTTTCCCCTGCCAGATATACTTAGAAAATAAAAAGCAAGCCAAGCCAACACACCTGAAAAATCTTTGGCAATTGTACTTATCCTTTATTTGTTTCAAAATAAGTTATTTTTGTAGTGTTTGCCTGGTTATTTTATCAAGCAAGTGAAGTATGTGTTTGAAGCAAAGATGATATTTGCAGGAACAAGGAGTAGTTTCTCATCCCTTAAAATGAAGGGGGAATGAATCAAAATAAAAATGGTTTTGATTATAAAATGAAGGCTTAGGGTGAGCAAGCTGTATGTGGTTTTTGGCAACACTATTTGAGTGAGTAAGAATTGGAGCCAATCCTGCAAGATGAGTAGGTCTGAAGATAATGTAGTCTATAAAGAAATATTTCTGTTCTCTGTTTCAAATTCCACATGTTAGTTGACTTATTTGCACCTCTGAACAGCTCTGAATTAACATTCTCTCTTAATTGTTTCTGAGCTGGTTTTTTGTGGGTTTATGGGCTAATTTGCAGTGTCAATATCAGCAGTTCTGGTTTGGAGCATGTAAAGGCATCTAAACAAAGGGATTTTCAGGCTGAAACAACGTATGGGTTTGGTATGTGTGGAGAAGTAGTGCAACACTGGAAACACAGAGCACAAAATATTACAGGTCATTGTGTGAGGAAAATGCCTCTTTTGACCACTATTTTTAAGTTTTAAAAGCATTTAAAATCTCAGAGACAATAAAGTATGTTTTATTTGAAAAAGAGGGGATAGGACAGAAAAACACTGTAGTCCAATAGATGGCATAAGTGTAACAATGGAAATTCAGGGAAATAAATTAGAAAAGAATCTTTTGTCTTGTGGATTTACTATTTCCCATCACTTGTGGTTTCAAAAGTGAAGGGGGAGGGAGAAAGAGGAAGAGAGAGAAAAAAAATGGCAATTATAATTTTCCACATTTTAAAATGAAAATCCAAGGAAAACTGACTCAAAATTCCAGCTACAAACAACATTTGTCATTATGAACATTTGGTTGTTACTCATGGATATGTATTAATAAAATGCACTGATTTCAGCCAACACCCCTAGTCCAATTTAGACGTGTATAAAGGTCAGGTCTGGATTCATATTGCAGCAAATGAACCTTATCTCTGCACTGTGCCAAAAAAAAGCCACCTGAGTCTGAGCAATCTTGAACTTTAAGCTGCTTAAAACCTTTAGCCAGGCATGACTCTGGTGAAGTTTAGTCATTTCTAACCATACACTTTCATCATCTGTGGAGCCTACAGCATTAACCCTTTTGCTTGCTTGATCTTTAAATGGGTGAAGAAAGAAAAATACTCTCGAGTAACTATTCTGTGTCTGGAAGAATAGGAGATCATAGACTTGGTCATAGGTCTTGCTGTCTTGTGAATAAAAATAATCTACATTAAACCAAAAAGAAAATTACCCATTAGGATTATGTAAAAAAGCATTACATCTCCGTAAGCATCAAGTTACCAAGATAGGTTTTTGCAAAAGAATAAAGGTCAGTTACAACTATTAAACTTGTATATTGTTTTATACTAAGCCCTTCCAATGGCCTCTCTGAGGGACTGTTTAGTTTGTATTATACTCTAATAAACTCCAGGTGTGGAGGACAAACTGAATAATAAGAACCCGATGGACCAGACTAGTTAAAAATAATGTGGTACATTCCTAGTTCTCTGCATTTAATTTATTGTTAATCATTGTTATTACTTACATTTATTGGGTAGTTTTTCTGGATTTATTAGGCACTACATTTAACAGTGTTATCGCTTGTAACTGACTATCAGTGGAATAGAAAACATATTTTCTTTAAGAGTCTTACCCTAATTAGTAAGTTGTTTCCCTATTGAAATAAAACAGACCCTAGGAGAGTCAAGTTGACTCACTTTATTTATTTATTTTTTTTTAAAGTCAGAATAAAAGCTAGGAAACCTGTGTTTTCAAGACCACCTGTCAGAGCAGACAAGCAGAATTATCCATGTACCCTGCACAGAGCTCTGATGACTGAAATACTTGGCTGGGAACTTGCAAGTCAGATGCTTGAAGGTTTTCAACTTCATGGCTCAGCTAATTGATGGATTCTGTTCCTGACCAGTGTGATGTGCAGGGGAGAGCCACTAAAAGATGAACAAAAGGCAGTTTGAGCTGTTTACCCAGCAATGCTGCACTGTACATGCCAGGGCGGATCACGCTCCAGGGTGGAAGGTGGCCCCAGAGGTGGCAGTGCAGGGCTCCCAGAGAGCAGGGCTGGCAGCAGCTGCTTCACTTGTGAAAGCTGCTCACGCCCTGGGCAGCAGAGCCCCTTGCAGGTCACCCGTGACAGCATGGGGTGGGAGCCAGGCACACCTGCATGGAGATGGAGCCCTGCAGCCTGGGCATCCTTGAGGTTGTGAACCTGCCCCACCAGACCTCGGGCAGCAGGGTCAGCTGGGTGCCAGCTGCCATCAGCACCTCCTCATGAAAATAAAAGGGTGAGATCAACACATGTAGCTCTGTGGTTATCTGCCTGGATAGACAAATCAAAACTGCCCCTTTGGTGGCAAGATCATTATTCAGCATTGATGATAAAATCAGCGACCTCCTTCCAAATGCCCTGGGCTTCTATTTAGAACAGGGGGTGCAGTCTGAGATCCCTCTTTTCTAATCAAGAGGCCACATTCAATTAAGATATTCAATCTGATGTTCTTAAGCACTTTCTCTTTGGAGATGTGAAAGGGTTTTTCACACAGCACAGGTCAGTTAGGAAGCTCAGCATAAGAGATACCTTGGCATGATCTGTGTTGAAAGTAAAGTCTGGAGGAAACTCAGAGCTCCCAAGCTCTGCATTCAGCCACTGTAGCCAGAGGTAAAGGGAGTTTTTTCAGAGCTTTACACCACTGTAGGCACCATTACATTTTAGCAGAGCCTCGAGCACTCACCCACACCATGGGTTCTGCTCATAACAGGCATGGGGAGCCTCCTGGTGACAATCATGGCTTTACGACCATCCAAAACACCAAAACCTTCAACAACCAGGGTGGGAGTGAGGACAGGAGGTAGGCTGGGTTTCTCTGGCATCCACACAGCTGCTCTTGCAAGCCATGAGCTCAGCTTCAGGTCTCTGGTGACTGTGGTGTCAAAGGCTGAAACCTCCCCAGTGGCTTCTCTTCCTGTGGAACCAAACATAAATCACTGCTGGAGGAAGTGCTGCTTGCAGAGAGAGATGGAGAGGGAGAGAGGGGAAGCAAGAGCCAACAGATGATTTGCTGCTCTGCTCATCCTAAATCCCTGGTATTTAACTCACAGGAAAGCAGCAGGAAATTTTACTAGTTAGAAGGAAGAGGGGATGAACAATAGTAGGTCAGACGAATCCCGATGACAGCTCCTCTACGCTGCCAAAATGGGAAAGTAGGGATCACCAGAGCAGTTCCTCCACTAAAAGCACTTAAGTCACTGCTGCTGGAGACAACAAATCTAAGACAATCCATTCCCAGGTCTACAGAGAGCAGATGGCCCCTTCTAACTTACAGAAGCCAGGACGTGTGGTCATAGGTGGAAATGGACTGCTGCTCAGCCCCATGGCTGGCTGTGCCTGAGATCTGGTGCCACAAGCTTTGCAATGCCCCCTTTACAGCTGGAATGTCTGCTGCCAGCTGGAAACCCCCATGGGCAGTACAAGGCTTGCCTGAGTGCTCCAGCTTTCCATGGCTCAGCAGCAGTGTGGGCAGGACTTGCCCTCAGGGGATGCAGAAGCCAGGTTAGCCCAGAGTGGCTTTACCCTGCTATTCCCCATTTTCCCCAGCCCCACAGTCCTGCTTTTGCTCTGATACTGTGGTGTTCTGAGTCTCAGCATTTCATTTTGTGCTGGCTACTGGCCTTAGGATTTTTCCCTTCTCTCTGCCTCAAATTTGGTGGTGCATGTTTGCAGAGGTACAAATAGCTCAGAGGATAATTTTAAAGGAGAGCTTTTGTTATTGGTCATTTTACATGTATGAAAATACGTATTGCTTTTTCCACTGATGGTACCTTAGTGCTCCATCTTGCCCCATCATCATCACATATGTTTTCTACAACTCTCCCTGATTATAAATCACCCTAAAAATCCCTCACCAGGAAGACTGTTTTGCATGCTGCTCCTGTTCAAAGCAGACATCTGATCTGGCATTGTGCAATTTGGTCTGAGATCCACATACTGGAAATGGGTCCCCAAATGTCCCTTTCAGGCTGTGGGTACACTTAGGGCAGGGAAAAAAAGGCAAATAATTGCATCACTTTGCATGTGCCAGTAAAATGATATCTCAGGAAGTGAGAATGCAAATTAGTTCATTACTACTACTACTACTACTAATAATAATAATAATAATAATAATAATAACAATAATAATAATATTTCATATCTGTATAGTTCTATACCTCCATTAAAACCATCCAGATAGTCTTTGCTCTGAAAGGCCTCTCTGCCTCCTTCCTGTTCCTTCCTCACATTCTGAAATATATTGTTAGTTTGGGGCAAAATGTATTTTAATGTCCAAAAAAAGCATCAGGTCTTTCTAACCCCCTTCACAGAGGGGTTGGGATGCACTGGGGGGGTGATAAGGGAGCAATGGGACATCAGCAGTGGTGGAACCCAGAATCTCCTCTCAAGTCAGGGTGAACAGGGAGGAGTCAGAAAAATGCATTTTCCTGTAGAACAGGAGCTGCTCAGAGGCAGAGAATGGGGAAAGCTGGATTCCTTCCTGTGGACTTCCAGCCCTGAGGAAGAGCTCCCCCAGCAGAAGGGGCTCAGAGGAGGGGACCCTCTGGGGTGGCTGTCCCCAGTTGGGAAGTAAGAGGGGCACACTCATGGAGATGTGCTTTATTCAGCACGGGGGCAGGAATCTATGGTGGAACCGAGGGTTGTCTTCCCATCATTTGGTGTGAAGATTACTCCCAGATGTTGGAGGGTAACCTCCTAAATATACCAAAATGAACTCTCCCAAAACAGAAGAAGAAAACAAAATAAATGGGATTCCAACCAGTCAGCAAGCCATCTTCTGCCTCTCCAGTGGTCTGCAAAATTGGCCTTTTGAAAATCCTGATGGGACCTCCTGAGCTGAGTACCTGAAGAGGCAGGAACAGAAGAAATCCTAATTTTCCTTATTATTCACTCTCAAATAGGAAGACAGACATGAGAATTCAGCCTAGTGTGAATAAACTCATCCCTTCCTGATATTTCCCATCATCTACAAAAGCAGTTTCTTTTGCTGGTTGTTGTTTTGTATATTTTTCCAAACAATACCCTTTAGCAACAAGACCTCCCTTTTTTTTAATTCATTTCCAGAGGGATTTGAGTCCAGATCACACACACACAAGGCAAGTTTCCAGCATTCTTATTCCTCCACTGGAAGAAATAACCAGAGCCAGCATCTCTGTACCATTTCCCAAACAGTTCTGTTCTTCTGCCTTCAGTGACAGCAGTGCACTGTTTCTAATCCATTACAGGAATTTATCACAGTACGTGTCAATTTGTTTCTCTTCTTGCCTCTTCTCACTTTAAAATGACATCAGGAAAGAAACTTTACAGCAGGGCTGCTTCAATCCAAGTTTTAGCGACAGAGCACTTAACTGGATCCTAACTGTGCACATTAAGTTTTAAGGGCATATACTAAACAGATCAGGTTTTACTGTAGTCTAGAATTTCCTTTGTTTCCTTTTTGGTGGTGATCTGTGCTACAGTTTGAAATACTCACAAAAAAGCATCTGTGTTTCCTTCTTTT